ATTGGTAATTTATATACAATGTCACCGCAAGAGGAATCACTTGATATTCTTGTTGGATTTCTTAGTGCATATAAATATATGAAAGTAAAAGGAATTGATCTTGATACAATAGGAGAATTAGCTTCCAGCCAGATGCAGAGGAGGGTTTTGTGGTCGCTGGTGGAAACGGGCAAGGCGAACAAATGAATCAGCTGAATGAGCCAACCGATACGATCATCGACAGAGAGACAGACAGTCTCCTAATCTGCGATCGAAAGAACCGGCGAGTCGTTCGGTGGCCTCGACGAAGTGGCACAACAAGTGGAGAAACGCTCATTGAAAATATTCATTGCTACGGGTTGACGACAGATAATCAGAGGTTTCTCTACGTCTCTGACGAAGAAAACCATGAAGTCAGGCGCTATCGCTTGGGAGAGACGAATGCCATAGTGGTGGCCGGTGGAAATGGCAAAGGTGATCGTCTCAACCAGTTGAATGATCCAGCTACCTCTTTGTCGATGCAGATCAGTCGGTGTACGTGTCAGAATGGGTAAATCATCGTGTGACGAAGTGGGTGAGGGATGCAAAAGAAGGGGTTGTTGTAGCGGGTGGTCGAGGTGAAGGGAACGATCTCACACAGTTGTCTCATCCTAACGGGTTGTTCGTGGATTCGTTGGGAACCGTCTATGTAGCAGACGCTGGGAATCACCGAGTGATGCGTTGGCCCAAAGGAGCCACGTATGGAACGATCATTATTGGTGGAAACGGTGCAGGAAGAGAAGCAAATCAATTGAGTTGGCCCATTGGTATGTCATTTGATCGATATAATAATCTCTATGTCGTCGAATACGGAAATCATCGAGTCCAACGATTCCCAATCGAAGCGTCTACTTGTTTGATGGATACTGATCTTGTCAACCACTAGTGTGTGTGTGTGTGTGTACTTATGCGCCTTGCCATGTGTTACTTTGTGAACTGAAGAAAGAGAACAGAACTTTTTTTAATTTTCTTACTTTTGAACGCCGCCCGCACGAGACCAGAGATCAATTCGACTGATTGAAAATACTATCCATGCTCCGACAACGAAAATTTCAAAATGTTTAAATCATATTATACGACCCATATTCAATGACAAATGTGATACAACAACCATTATTGATGGTGCTTTTTTAATTAAAGGACTTAACAAATCTATCAGAAAACGTCTTTTTAAACCGTCGACTCTTTTCTGTACATGTGGTATTGGTAATTTATATACAATGTCACCGCAAGAGGAATCACTTGATATTCTTGTTGGATTTCTTAGTGCATATAAATATATGAAAGTAAAAGGAATTGATCTTGATACAATAGGAGAATTAGCTTCCATTGTACGCCAAGAAAATATTTTTGTCTATGGTAAAAGAATGTATAAACAAATTATTAGTGGTGCTATGGGTTCATCATTTACATTAACATTAGCCAATACTTTTATGTGGAAATGGCAAAAAGAATTCATTCGTCCCGATACGATAATGGTATTCTATCAACACTAGTTTATCATAAATCAGCAGCTGAAACACATGTTGTACCATTTAAATCTGATAATCCTCGACATGTATGTGGATATGTTATACAAACTGCTCTAGCTCGAGCTATAAGATATTCATCCACGTGTAAAGCATACCAGAAGGAACGACGCTATCTTTAACTAACTTTACTCCTTTGATTGAAAGTCTTGGGTCATACGAACGAAATGTACGTCCGTCCCTTCCATCCACAGTAGAATAGTGACACCCGCTTTTGTAGATTTCTCGGCTGCGGTTAAAATACATTTTTGTAGGCCAATTAAAAAGTTTCATCGCTACGGCTTTTCACAGGGAGGATTTGGACAAAATCCGAATATATCGGCAGAAAATTAAAAAAAAAATCCATACTTCCCGTAGATTTGGGTTTAGATCCAATCTGGGGGTATATTAGGAACCGGCGTAACTTGGGCTATCTACCACCATCAAATATGTGTCCCTCATGCGTTCAGGTTAAAAATAAAATTAACGTTTTTCTAAAAAACTGCTTTTTTCAAAATGTGATCTCAGTACAAAGGGGTTCCACAAGTTTCCGCAACTCATGGAACCTTCATTATTTTCCATTAGTATGGTTGGATAAGAATGTGAACACAAATGTTGAAAATGTTCAAATTCAAGAAATATTTCGGCAATCGAACGATCAAATGAAAGCATACGATGACTCAGACAAATGCGTTAATTATTTAGTTAAGTCTGCTGATCAAACAATCATTCTGATTGTGTCCAACTATTTTGGACGTCGTGTAATATCTGCCATACATAATTTCAAACAGATAGCAGTAATCTACGTCTACTGTTATAAGAAGAAAGCTGCCGAAGAATGGACAAAAGATTACGAAAAAGTAAGTCAGTTCTTAGATTTTCCAAAATATCTTTCGAGAGAATCGAGCACTACATGTTCAATGCAGATATGGCGTTAAGTGATAACTTGGGGCAGCAGGGTTAAGTTAATTTTTAAGTTAAATCATGTTAACTTAACCTTTTTAGAGTTAAGTTAAGAAATTAACTTAACCTAAAAAGGTTCAGTTAATAGATTGACTTAAGGAGGGTCTCTCCATTTAGATTTTTCTCTAAAAAATTCCTGTCCATCCTCCATTCATCACAAAAACTTGGTTCTTGCCTAGATCGATAGAGAAATGTGTGGAGAATATTTATTACGAGAAAATATGCAAGAATTTTTGTTCTTTCCTTCCTGGTATTGGCTAATTAGTACTAATTAACGTTTATTTAGCCCACTCTACTAGCATAAAGTTGCCCACTCTACTACGAACCGGGAAGCTTGAAGAAAAAATTCAAAACTTGAAAATATCGCTGGTTTTTGGCTCACCGAAGATTTTTTTATCTACCTTACGGCTAGTTTCGTCCGAACCAAGCATTTTGTAGCAATACTCTGAGTGCAACAGTTGTTCAGAATCGAATTTTGGAGTCCCTCACGAGAGATTTTTTTAAAATTTTCTGTTTCTGACTTTTAAATTAAATTTTACGGTTTTTAAAATTTTAAAATTTCGTATGTTTTAATTTAAAAATCAAAAACAAAACATTTTAAAAAAAGCTCTCGTGTGGGACTTCAAAATTCCATTCTGAACAACTTTTGCACTCAGAGTTTTGCCTCGAAATGCTTGCTTCGAGCGAAACTAGCCGTAAGGCGAGGCGAAAATACTTTTAGCTCTGAAGTTTCCTCGGGAAGGCGAACGTTAAATTTCTGCGGCAAACTTCATTCGGGAACGATGAAAAGGTTTCTCCGCATACAAATTAATGTTCTCTATCGAACTATGCTAGAATCAACTCTTCATATCAAGTGATTTATCGCATGGCGGAACGCAGTCTCAAATGGCGAGAAACAATGTTACTCATTCAGTAGTTGAATATGAAGACACTGACGGTCAAGCTCAAAAGCTATCACTGTCGATTGAAATAATATCAAATACATCTGCTAGAAGTTCATTAAAAATTGGTCAAGAAACAACGCTGCAAACGAATGGAAGAACTAGAATTCGTGTTACTTTTGTGTTTTTTGGTAAATATCACTGCAAGGTTGTTTGAACTGTTAAGTAAACGGCTTCTTTATTTTCCGTTGTACAGGGAGCGGTTGACAGGCTTTTTACACCTAAAGTAAAGAAGTGAACTAACTAATCAGCAGCCTGCAACCATTGAAAGAACTGCGCATGATGGCTTCCAATTCAGTCACCGTTTTTAACTATTTGGACATTTGTACACATTGCATTAGATTGAGCTTCGTGGCTACTCTTTCCTGCACTACTTGTTACATCACGTAAATATAAATCATACTCTTCCTCCGAACCTAAATGTTAAAGAAAGATAATCGTTTATTTAACAGTTCAAACAACCTTGCAGTGATATTTACCAAAAAAACACAAAAGTAACACGAATTCTAGTTCTTCCATTCGTTTGCAGCGTTGTTTCTTGACCAATTTTTAATG